CAGGTATGATTCTTTGCAGGAGTATGTGGCAAGAATGTGTTTTCAGCTTTCCCTGGATCTTCGAACCATCTGCAGTATGTATCTTGCTAGGTTAGCTGCATATCCATTAGGAAACTTGATACCTTTGAGAAACTTGCAGAACGCGATTTTCTGATCCTTCCCCAAGACATACGGAGCAGGTGGAGCAATGACTGAGTTGCCATGTTGCTGCAAGTGAAATTCAGGTCTTATGCCCATATCATACAAATCTAGCCTAGCATTGGTTGTGTCCTTGGTCTTGCCCTGTACATTGAGTAATGTGCCAAGAATGTTTTCACATATGTTTTTCTCTATGTGCATCACATCGAGATTATGTGGAAGCTTTAGATGTTGCCAGTATGGCAATCTCCACAACCCAACTTTGCGGCTATAAATCCTTGGACCCTCATTGCGCTTCCTTTTATTCCCAGTAATGTCAGGATGCTTCCCTGGCCTGACATCTTTCACCTTCTATAGCTCCTCTAGGACCTCCTCCAAAGTGAACTTGCCTGGCTCATCTTTGTTTTCACGCTTACCATCGAAAGCCAAGCTTCTCCGCCATGCATGTCCCTGAAAAAGGTAACGACGGTGTCCAATGTAACATATCTTATTCCTTATTGCCCGAGACAACGGATCCTTGTCGCAATGAATACATGCATAATACCCTTTTGTTGTTCACCCTGATAACGTGCTCAGCGCTGGATAATCATGTATACACCACAGCACGGCAACGCGAAGGTCAAACTTCTTACCAGTACATGCATCGAAGGTGTGGACACCCTTCCATAGATCGATCAGGTCTTCAATTAGGGGCTCAAGGAACACATCAAAATCCTTTCCTGGAGACTTTGGACCTGGGATGAGTAATGCCATAAAGCAGTTTGCTGGATTCACGCATTCCCATGGTGGGAGATTTAGGGGTGTCAGAAGCACTGGCCACATACTGTACTAGGTACTCATGTTGCCAAATGGATTAAATCCATCGGTAGCTAAGGCAAGCCTCAGGTTCCTCGGGTCGGATGCAAAGGTTTTTTCTCTCCTGTCGAAATCCTTCCATGCTTCCCCATCAGCTGGATGGCTCATTACATTGTTGACTGGCGTCCTCTTTTTCTGGTGCCATTATGTTTCCTCAGAAGTTCGCTTTGAAGCAAAAATTCTTTTCAACCTTGGCAAAAGTGGAAAATGCCTCAATACCTTGTGTGGAACCCTCTTGGTCCCAGTTTCATCTTGCCATCTAGATGCCTTGCATACCGGACACACATTGTCTTTAGCATACCTCTTCCGAAACAACACATAATTGTTCGGGCACACATGGATGTTTTCACAGCCAAGACCCAATTCTCTAAGATATTTCTTGGCCTCATCATATGATTTTGGCAACTCACTCTGAGGGTATCCTTCTGACAACAACTTGATCATCGCGGAAAATGCTGTATTCCCAATTCGATAATGAGACTTGATATACAACATCCTCACCAGAAAAGAGAATTTTGAGTGCCTAGATCCCGGGCTAAGTGACTTCTTCGCATCCTCAAGGACTCTTGCAAACATTGGTTGTTGTCCCTCTGCCTCTGCAGCAAAGACATCTGACTCTCCTATCATCTCTGGTACTCCGTGATCCTCATCATAGTCATCATCGGCCACATCCACATGTATCCCAAAGTCATGATCCCTTCCTTTGACCTCTGCTGCTCCAAATTCTCAACCACTTCAAGATCCGCCGACTCCCCATGATAAATCCACCGGTGTAATGTGGTGACATTCCATAAATGTGTATATGGTCACTTGCATCATCTTTGAGACTGCATTTTTGATTTAGACATCTGCTTTGCGACGGGCAAAGTATCCGGCTGTCTTTGGGGTATCTTTCACTAACAAATTGCATGAACTCTTCAACTCCTTTCACATATGCAGTGTGAATGGTGCCCCAAAAATCCAGCTTCTATCCATCTGTTTTTGACAAGACAATAAACCTTGTACTCAATCCTTAAATTCCAATAATAAATTCAACAAAATTTAAAACATATCAAAGACATGCTTATATTTAGAAAAAAACTGAATACAAATCAAACCTTGTACTTGGCGATCCTCTGCTCACGCGCCATGCGCAACTCACTTGTCGACGGTGTCTTTGCTCTCTTCAGGCGCGCCCGCCGCTGCCGGCGCCGATCTGCAGCATTTGCTACGCCTATCTTCTTGTTGTGTGTCCTAAGCGCGCGCCGCCGCTGCGGCGCCGCTTCGCTCGCCAAAGACGGCGCTGATAAGTCGCCGGGGATGCCTCGACGCTGGGTATAGGACCACGGACGCCCTCGTGATTGGCCGCCAGGGACGTATACGCGATCGGCCGCCAGGTACGACGTCCTCACGATCAGCCATGATGCATGTGTACGGGCCCATTAAACCAATCCATAAAAAAACAAAGTATCACATAATGACTAGATAAAAGGAAAACATGTATGCTGTAGACATGAATGGCTGTGCGTTCCGGTGGTAAGTCACCTACCTGTTAACCGTGAGGTTCCAGGTTCGAACCCTGCTGCGGCCTCCTTTTTTTGCGCAAATAAAAAGGAGGGGAATGCTGCTGGTCGAGCTGGGCCGTGGGCCAGCAGCACCACGTGTTCGCCGCCGTGTCCCGCTGGTGGGACCGCACGCCATGTCATCGACATTTACTCAGCACAAAAGGAAAAAAATGTATCTTATAATCATAAAAGCGCGTGTGTTCCAGTGGTAAGGCTCCTACCTGTTCACCAGGGAGGTCGCGGGTTCGAACTCAGGGAGGAGCAATTTTTTTGCAAAAAAAAATAAAGGGAGGGGCAGGCAGCTGGTTGACCTCAACCATGGGCCCGGGCGCCAAATGTTCACCGGCACGCCTAGCTGGTGGGACCGCATCGCCATGTCATCGAGGTTGGGACCCAAAGGTGGGTCCGCATAGCCACGTCCTCAAAGTGGGACCCGACGGTGGGACCACGACGCCATGTCCTCGAGGTGCAACAAGAGCCAAACAATCAATGATGATTTAGTTTTTGTTATTGTATGACGATCTTTTCCTTTTCGTCATTATTCTTATTGCCAAACCTCCGTCACTTGTGACTGATGACGAACCAGCAAATTTTGTCATAGAATGCTAGCATTCTGTGATGAATTTGGTAATCGTCACGAGGGAATCGTCATTGATTAGCACATTTCTAGTAGTGATGTTTGGAGAGCTTAGTTACTTCCTTGGTCTTCAAATCAAGAAAATAAAGAATGATATATTTATGAGTCAAGGTAAGTATATCATAGGCATGCTTAAGAAATTTGGAATAGATGATGCCAAAATTATTAGTACACCTATGGGGACAAATGGAAACTTAGATAGTGATGCTAGTGGTAACATGGTGGATGAAAAGATGTATCAGTTTATGATTGAGAGTATACTCTATGTGATCGCATCAAGGCCGGATGTAATGTTTAGTGCATGCATGTGTGCTAGATTTTAAGCCTCACCAAGAGAAAGTCATTTGAAGGCAACAAAAAAAATAATAAGGTACTTAAAGCATACACAAAATATTGGATTGTGGTATCCCAAAGGAGCAAACTATGAGTTGATGGGTTATTCGGACTCCGACTAAGCCGGATGCAAAGTTGAGAGAAAGAGCATATCAGGCACATGTCAATTGTTAGGAAGATCACTTGTATCTTGGTCATCAAAGAAGTAAAATAGTGTAGCACTTCAAACAACCAAGCGGAGTACATTTCGGTCGGTAGTTGTTGTGCTCAATTACTTTAGATGAATGCCACTTTGAATGATTTTGGAATCAAGTTCAAACAAGTGCCATTGCTATGTGACAATGAGAATGCCATGAAGCTCACTAACAATCCAGTTCAACATTCAAGAACAAAGCACTGGACAATGCGGCGGCCACTGTAGGCGAGGCACCGACTGTAGGCGGCTCCATGGAGGAGGACGTAGGTGTTGCTATCGCGCAAGAGGTGGTGCACTGTCCACACCGTGTTCAGCGACACATGGGGTGGGCACAGGGTCACCCCCAGCCTGTCCTCGTCGTCATCGGTGTGATTGCGTGAAGCTATGAAGGTACGCCCCGTGCGCGCGGCGCCCTGTTTGGCAAGGCGAACCACGCGCTGGTGCTTCTGCTGTGGGGGCGAAGGAGAACATTGGTGCGGAGTGAAGGGGGAGGGAGAGGAGAGCGCGGAGCAGGCGTTCGTTGGCTCGTTGCGGTTTGGGGTTTGGGCACTGACGCAGGGCAGGCTGGGGAATTTCAAGGCAACGCCCTGGTGAGACTGTAGGTGACGTTGATGTGCCGCCCGTCCACTGACAGGTGGGTCCCATATCGGGGCCTAGACTCCAGACAGACACGATGCGGGTAGCCAGCCAAAACAAAAAGGAGACTACTCACTACTCAACGAAATATCATCACCGACGGTGGTTTCCTGTCTACAATGTTGGGACTGCTCAGTACTCACTACTCACAAGCTTTTTTTGAACAAAACAAAAAGAAAACATTACGCTTGATGCCTTAATCATTTGATTAAAACATATTAGGAAATGGTGCCTGGGCTGATGAAGTTATGCACATAGCTTCAGCAAATAAATGATATGACCATGATTGTCAGTTAATAACTGAAAAAGGTTAGTTCAAAAAACTGTGACGGCAACAACAGATAAGGAAGAGAGAATACGATGTCAGAATTAATTTGTACCTTTGGTTTCTAGGTGATTTGTCACATATGGAAACTACGAGTAGTTTGGACTGGCCTAACACGCATGTGCTCCTAACCTAATACAGGGTACGACGTTTCTCCTACGTGCCTCTGATATTTTACACAACGAAGTTGCCGCTGTCCTCGTCGTCATTGTCGTTCCAATGGTCGGAGTCAGACATGCTCCATCGCCGGCTGCCTCTCTTCTTGGACTCGAGGAGTGGTGTGCCACCATCGCCTCCCTTGTAGCTCACCTGGCACGCCTCTGCCTCAGTGGCGATCTATTCGCACCTGATGAGCTGTTGCAGGACCTCTTTCATCGACGGCCACGTCAGCGGGTTCTCTCCCGTGCAGATGACACCGAGGGTGAACACCGATAGGATATCCTGCATGTAGGCAGGCTGCCGGATGGCCTTGTCGACGATGTCGTTGAACGGCGCGCCTTTCTGGTACCGCTGCCATGCCCATTCCGCCAGGCAAAGGTCCACGCAGCTGTCATTGGCGACCTTGCCAGTTGTAAGCTCTAGCAGGACGATGCCAAAGCTGTAAACACCCACCTTCTCATTCACCTTTGGCCTATTCTGTAGAGTCGCCATGCCACACATCAATGATCAATCAGCACTTCTTGAATTAAAATGACTGACAACAGAAAAGCTGAGCTTCTAACCTGGAGCCATGTACCCGATGATAGAAACTGTAGGATCAATGATGCATAGATCTAGCGGGTACAATCTCTTCTCCTTGTGATAAAAGATGTAGTTCATCCTAGTACATGAAGAAATAGAGCAACAGAGAGGAGAGGGTGAGAGGTGAGACATCACCGACCGTCGGAGGGCTTGGTGGAGGAGCAGAGCCGTCCATGGCGATGTCGGTGTTGCTGTGGAGTCCGGTGGTGTGGTCCAGCAGTGGCGCGGTGTCCCAACGGAGAAGACGGTGGTGGCTTCCCATCACTGACTTTGCACCCTCTAGATCGGGCTAGGGTTATGTCAATGGAGCGACTGTAGTACTCCCGGTGAACCTCATTCCTTGAGCCGCCGACCCCACCTCTATATATAGCGTAGTGTGATGGGGGCCCACCAACCATGTAGGGTTGGGCGCCCCCGATCAAGGCGCGAGGTCAAGGCCCAACTTGACCATTGGGCCGAGCTAGAGAGATCACTACTAACAATCTCCCCCTTTATCTTATCTTATTACTTAAACTTAACTTAATTTATCTTGTTCCCATTCCATCATAAATCAGTGCATAGAGCGTGCATCATCGTCATGATCAGTTGCCATTAGATTAAACAACTACAATGCACTTCTCTATTTTGAAACAGATTATCAACTAGGCCCTTATTGTCCAGGAATCATAGGCTTTCCCTTAAACCTATGCCGGCTAAGTGTTCTCTGAACATGCTGAGTGGTAAGCCTTTTGTAAGCGGATCCGCGAGCATCTTTTCTGTTCTTATATGCTCAAGACTAATTATATGATCCCGGACTTTATTTTTCACAACATAATACTTTATGTCAATGTGTTTGGCAGCACCACTTGACTTATTATTGTGAGCATAACATACTGCTGGATTATTATCGCAGTACAACTTGAGTGGTTTATATATGTCGTCTACCACTTTCAACCTGGGCATAAATTTCTTCAGCCAATTCACCTGCCCTGTGGCCTCATAACATGCTACAAACTCAGCATACATTGTGGATGATGTAGTGATGGTTTGCTTTGAGCTTTTACATGATATAGCTCATCCTGCGAGAGTGAATATGTATCCTGACGTGGATTTTTTGTCATCTCCCGCATAATCAGAATCTGTATACCTCTCTATGTGTAGGGAATCAGATCTTCTGTACGTTAGCATGTGACCCTTCGTACCTTGCAGGTAATGCAAAACTTTCTTTACTAATTTCTAGTGTTCTATTCCTGGATTACTCTGATATCTGCTAAGTAACCCGGTAACAAATGCTAAGTCAGGGCGAGTACACACTTGAGTATACTATAAACTTTCGACAGCTAAACTATATGGAACCACTTTCATTTGATCGATCTCATATTGGTTCCTGAGATATTGAAATTCCCCATATCTGTCGCCCTTGACTATGAGAGCAGGTGAAGACTTATAATTTTGCATACTGTATTTCTTTAGAACTTTTTCTAAGTATGCCTTTTGTGATAATCCTAAAACCCCCTTTTCTCTATCTCGGTGAATCTCTATTCCTAGGACGAACGAAGCTTCATCGAGATCCTTCATATCAAACTTCGAGGACAAGAACTTCTTTGTTTCTAGTAGTAGAATAACATCACTGCTAGCGAGCAAGATGTCATCCACATACAAGACTAGGAAAATGTATTTTCCATTTTTGAACTTTGCATAAACGCAATTGTCCTCTATATTTTCTTGAAACCCAAACTTTCTTATTGTACTATCAAACTTCAAATGCCACTGTCTTGAAGCTTGTTTTAATCTATAAATGGATTTCTTCAGGTGGCATCCCATATGTTCTTTTCCTTTCACAACAAAACCTTTTGGTTATGCCATGTAAATTTCCTCTAGATCCCCATTTAGGAACGCCGTCTTTACATCCATCTGATGTAATTCTAGATCGTAATGTGCTACAAGCGCTATTATGATTCTAAAAGAATCATTACATGAGACTGGAGAAAATGTCTCATTGTAATCTATGCCTTCTCTTTGCGTGAAACCTTTCGCCACAAGTCACGCTTTAAACCTTTCTATATTCCCTTTGGAGTCATGTTTAGTTTTGTAGACCCATTTACAGCCTACTGTCTTGGCCCCTTTAGGAATTGTTTCTAAGTTCCAAACACCGTTGGTTTTCATTGATTTCATTTCATCTTCCCTGGCTTCAAGCCACTTGGATGTGTGAGCGCTTCTCATGACTTCTTCAAATAAGGTGGGATCACCCTCCATTTGAAATTCCTCACATTCATAAACTTCGTAATCATCAGGAATGGCTGATCTCCTGACTCTTTGAGACCTTCTAGGGGCCTCGTTAGATGATACTTGTTCTATATGAGGTTGTTGTTGCTCTCCCTCATGTGTGACAATGGGTTCTAGGGGATCCTGAAGGACAGGTTCCTCATGTTCATTCATTGTTGCCATAGGAGAACTAACAACATGTGTTGTTACTATAGTGTCTTGCACTGTTGGTACAGCAACAATAGGTAGCATGAAGAATGGTTCCTAAACCATAGGAGTGGGCACGTATACCTGCTTCTCTTCAAAACTAATTTCTCGCGCTACCATGCTCCCCCTGATCATATCATCCTCCAAGAAGACAGCATATCTTGTTTCTACAAACATCGTTTGTTTGTCAGGACAATAGAAGCGATAACCTTTTGACTTTTCTAGATAGCCAATGAAATGGCAACTGACTGTCTTATAGTCTAGCTTCCCTATATTTGGGTTAAAGACTTTTGCCTCAGCTGGACAACCCCACATACGTAAATAGTTAAGTGAGGGTTCCTTTCCTGTCTATAACTCATACGGTGTTTTGGGCATCGTCTTACTTGGCACTCGATTAAGAATATGAATGGCGGTTTTTAACGCCTCCATCCATAAACTTATTGGTAGGGTAGAGTAAATTATCATGCTTCTCACCATATCCATTAAGGTATGGTTGCGGCTTTCTGCTACTCCATTCTGCTGAGGCTCGCCCGGTGTAGAATACTGGGCAACTATGCTGTTTTCCTGTAAGAACCTTGCAAAGGGTCCAGGAACTTGGCCATATGGGGTGTGTTGACCGTAGTACTCTCCCCCATGGTCGGATCTTACTACCTTATTCTTTAAGTTGTGCTGATTTTCTACTTTAGCCTTAAATATCTTAAATTTATCCAATGCTTCCGATCTTTCCTTAATTGGATAAATATAGCCAAAACGAGAATAACCATCTGTGAATGTTATAAATGAATCATAACTATCCACACTCTTCATAGGAAAAGGACAATAGATGTCTGTGTGAACTATTTCTAAAATTCCTGCGCTTCGTTTGACATCTTTCTTTATTTTCTTAACGTACTTTCCTTTTATGCAATCTATGCATTGTTCTAAATCTGAAAATTCTAAAGGTAGAAGAATTGATTTCTTAATCAATCGCTCTATCCCCCTCGAAATATGGCATAAACGACAGTGCCATAATTTCAAAGATACATCATGCACTCTCTTCCGCTTATTTGTTGCATTCATAGATGAGGAAGCATTCTCATTCTCAGTGCTCACAGCATTCATATTCTCAAAAAGTGATAATAAGTAAAGCTTGTCTTGTCGGAAGGCAAGACCAACACACTTATTATTATACACAATCTGACATTTGCCATTGCCAAAATGGCAATCATAACCATCATCGTCAAGTCATGAGACACTTATCAAGTTTCTACGCAAAGAGGGTACATAAAGAATATCTAAAAGCTGAAGTCTAAAACCATCATCTAATTCTAGAGAGAGATCTCCAATGGCCTCAACTTCAGCTTCAACCCCATTTGCAACTTTAATTCTTCTTTCTCCTTTTTGCAGGTCCTCCTCGTACGGAATCCCTGTAATGAATTTGCAACATGAACAGTTGCACCTGAATCAATCCACCAAGTAGATTTTGCATAACTTAAATACAAGGATTCATCTTGAATGTAATGAAATCCTCACCTCTCTTTAGAAGGCTCTTTAGAAAGTCTAGATAGTCCCTCTAGTAATGTTCATGCTTCTTGCACCATTTTCACTGATCCTTCTCAACTTGAGCATTGTTGTTCTTTGGATGGTGGTCATTCTGAGGGGCTTTCCCTTGAGGTTTAACATTCTTATTGAAATTCTTCTTTTTGCTGTCCTTCACAAGGTTAGCAGAGTCACCCTGTGAGCTTTTAAGCCTCTCCTCCTCTTGCACACACATTGCAATGAGCTTCTCAATGTCCCACTTATCGGGCTGCATGTTGTAGTTAACAATAAAAGTTTTATACTCTTTCGGCAAGGAAGCAAAAACCAAATGAATCAGGAACTCATCTTTGAGCCCCAAATCCATTGGCTTGAGCTTGGATGTCGTGTTGCTCATCTTCAATATGTGTTCTCTTATACCTCAACCAGAGTATTTCTCATTGAATAATTTCTTTATCAAGGTGCTTGCATAAGCCTTTGAAGAGCCAGTAAACTGACTCTCCACTTTCTTAAGATACTCGGTGGTGGTATCATAATCTAGGATTGATCCCCTTATAGCATCTGAGATAGTGGACTTGGCCACCATCAAGCACGGTTCGAGATGTCCCATTTCTTCTGATCAAGATCGTATTTCATTCTAACTTCTACATGATCTCGCTTTCGAGCAGTAAAATCAGCATCAGTCTTATTTTCTGCCCTCACCGGGTCCTCTGGCTCAGTAGGACATGGAGAGGTAAGTGCTAAGTCATTCTCGGACAGTGCAAGTGCGAGCTCATACTTCTCTCGCCATACCCTGTAGTTGCCCCCTTCAAGAGGCATAATATGCGAGATAAATGCCATAGGATTGAGTCCTGAAAAACAGTGTCAGAGAAAGTGAGAAAACATAACATAATGATTGCATGCCTTAATTTAACATTGGTCAAAATTAAAACATACAACTTCTG